ATATATATATAAATATATATATATGTATATATATATATATATATATACTACTGTGTGCATATATATATATACACAACTCAAGTGCTCATCAAATTATTTTTGGAAATTCTGCAAGAATGACTTTAAAGGGAGGGGAATAAACTCAAATCTAGATTTTGTCTTAGAAAATCCACTTTAAACAAACCTCTCTGTAACTCATAATTCCTTCAGCTACAGTGGACGTTACTCAAAGAAAGATTCACTTTACAAACCTGCTCTCTCTCTGCTCAGACTTAAATTCAACGGCAATAAGCAACAACTTCAGCTTCACGTAGCACAGCCTGTAACACAAACACAGATCATTAGAGAGGACAAGTATAAAAACAGATGACGGCTGTTTCCAAACACTTCCACATCCCCACAGACCCTTGTTTGTCTGACTCCATCACCATCTCAAAATCATTCATGAGTGGAGTAGAACTTACTCGCAGACAGTGGGGAAGGAGAGGCCTACAAAGGCACTGGACAAATACTCTGTGTACATCTCATTAGCCACTCCTTCAAGGTAATACTTTTGCCATGTGTCCTCCTCAATCTGACAAAGAAAAAGAAAAGAAGAAAAGCACGGAAATGACAAATATGTGGATGAATAAAGACAAGCATGAAAAAGCCAGCAGCCGTTCAATGTGGTCTGCAGATGTTCTCCTGCAAAGCATCAGCCTGGTCATTATAAGCTGATCCATCATCTTTATGACATGAGAACAGCTCTTTGATAGAAGCAAGTACCTCAATGTTTAGCCACAGAGCGCTGAACAGATTCCACATGGGATGTCACTTTAAAATATGATTCGCCAGAATGACTGTAAACACAGTAATGGAAGTATTTGTCTGGAGAAAAGAAGACGGCAAAATTCCCATGGAATGTACCGTCTAATAGATCTCGACCATCTGTCACGAGATAACCTACAGCACAGAATGCGCATATGCTAACCTCGTCAATAATGAAAATAAGAATCCTTTTTGGTGCAAAAGTGAAACCTAAGAGTGTGTTCGTTTAAGCACATAATGCAAGTAAATCTGTCCCTCTAAATTACCTCAATAAAGGACCTCATGGAGAAGAGATTGGCTAGCATCGTCGACAGGCCCTGGGCCAGACAACTCTGGGCAATGAAGCCTGCCTTCAGCTCCGCCAGGCAAATAGCATCGTCACCTTCCCTCCAGTTCCAGCTTGGAATGTTCAACAGATGGGCCTTTATTGCACGGAAGACAAAAAGGTCATAAAACAGGGGTAGCTACACAGTCGCCTGTTTCATAAAAACAAAGTTCAGCTTAGGACATTTTATTTTTGTGTGATTTTACTAAAGGTCGAGCCAACAAACAGCAACAAAAGCTGGCACTGATTTGGAACACAACCAGGTAAACACGGGGAAATGCTCACTCAGCATGGTATGTCTTTCTTAATGTATAAATTAATAAAAACTTATAAAACTTTAAATATACATATTTTCTAATTTGGCCAACTCTAAGATCAGTTAAGTATATATTTTTATTTGTTTACGTTTTGTACTTAATAAAACCAAGAGATAGCATGCTACATGCAAGTTTTATATGCTCTTATAGTTAACACCAATTTAAATCAAATAATTTACATAAAAATATTAACATGTGATGCTATAAAGGTAAAACTTTCATTACATGGGAGATCATACCTTGTTACTTTAACTGGCAACATATATAAAGTTGATTTCATTTAACTAGATTTTTCACTCTGATGTTTTTAAATGTAAAGAGGAGTTTACTTCTTTAAAGACTGTGGCAAACAGACAAATGAAAAATGTATGTTTCTTAACAGAAATTTTAAAAATTGCAATTTCATATTTTAAAGATGCAAATATCCTAAAAAAAAAAAATCAAAAAAAAAATCTGATCTGATCAAACAAGTATACTAGTGAAAAGGCTACATTAATATTTAGGCCAGGCCTTCTGACAGTATTATACATAGAAAAAAGCCAAATTAAGATCTATCACACAAAAGCCAGCGCAGACATTTTTTTTACATCAAAATCTGAATATTTTAAAACTAAACTAATTCATTGTACAAGACATTAGGTAAAAATCTAAACGTCTAAAATCTAAAATAAATTTTAAAAAATCTTTTTTTTTTCCATTTACCCTTTTTTTTTTTTGGATTTTATCCAACAATACAACATTTTCTCACAGCAAAGTTGTAAATGTATACCTCATTTCAGTCAGGTGGAGAAAGCCTCAGCATGTTAACTCAAGGGTGTCCAGTCCTGCGGCCCTCGAGGGTCACTGTCCTGCATGTTGTACTTGTTTTCCTGCTCAAACACTCCTGATTCAATGGTTGAATTATCTCTTCAAGTTCTGCTAATTACCCATTGATTCAAATCAGGGGTGTTAGAACAGAGAAGTTTCTTAAACATGTAGGACGGTGGCTCTGAAGGACCCGAATTGGACCCCTCCATGTTAACTGGACAAACCTGGACTCTTACCTTATTGTGGTACTGTAGCATCTGTGTGATAATCCTGATCTTAGGGTGGTAGTTCTTGATGGATATGACCCTTGAAAATCAGGTAGATGTGTTCAACATATAAATCACCAAGTCACTTTCTACTGATTTCACATTGTTCACCAAGAAATACCTCATGATGTTGGAGGCGTCTTCGGCATCAGGGTCTGCACAATATTTGTTGGCTAGAATTAGGCAGGCATCTGCAGACTCAATCTATGCATGAAGGACAAAAACAAATACGTTAAAGGAAAAGCACGTTATCACTTAGGCAGAGAGAGTATGTGTAATACTGGCACTCCAAAAACATTTACCGGTATTTTTGTAGAATTTTGGATAACACAATACAATTTTTTTTTTGTCATATTTTTTTTGTCATTAAAAAATTATACTTTATTGTTATTTTACAATGTATGTCAATATTTTTTCCACAATAAAGATTTTAAAATACTGTAATCCCTCACTACTTTGCGGTTCGACTTTCACGGACTCGCTCCTTTGCGAGTTTTCAAAGTAAGATTGGACATGACACACTATTGGCTGATTGATGGTTGAGCCACAAGATCAGCATGGATTTTTTTAAATAAAAAAAAATATTTTAAATTATTTTGCACCTGCTGCACATGTGTGCAGCCCACATGTGCAGGGAGAAGCTCCCTCCTGCAGCATGTAATGATCTCCGCTCTGCAGCGAAGAAGTGTGCGTGGCCGAGAGCCCTGGCAGGTGACAGAGAACGGAGATCATGACATTTTTTTTTTTTTTTTTTTAGCCTTTATTTATCCAGGTTAGTCTCATTGAGCCACGAGAACTCATTTTTCAAGAGAGACCTGTTTAGGGAGCACATGGTGGGGTTAAGGACCTTGCTCATGGGCCCAGAGTGGAGCGAATGAGGGTGGGGGCAAGTGTGGGTGTTTCACCTACCCCACCCACAATTTTTTTGATGTTGTCGGGGCCGGGACGTGAACCGGCGATCTTCGGATCACAAGCCCACCTCTCTAACCTCTGCGCCACCACTCCTGACATGCTGTGCTCTTTTAGAGCGTTTAGAGTTTAGAAACATTATTTCGAATATTGCAAGAGTGTGGGAAGGGTTTAAAACACCTTTATATATACTGTATATAAATACTAAAATAAACTACTTACTACAAGCCCTTCTGTGCGGTTTTTCACTTATCACGGGTGGACTGAGAACAGAAACCTCCGCGCTGAACAAGGGACTACTGTAATTGATTTACTGAACTGAATTAAACTCACTTATTTAAATTTAATCTACACTTCAGTTTAACCGAGGCTATCTTGACTGTATTGTAATTTTAATGTTTTGAGACTTTAGTCACTGGCCGTACCTTCACCCGAGCCAAATCATGAGGGTTGAGAACAGATCCCTGGTAGAACTCCACTTGGGTAAAATGACGTTTGAACAAGGCTTCCAGCTCAAGATTAGGGGAAATACTAGCACATATAGAAAAAAGACAACAAAAAAAAAGGCTTTAGAGCATGTATGGATACGTCACATAAACCAGAATGCTCTGCACTCCCCCACACATCATGTCAAGGAAAAGATGAACTTACTTATGGAGAAAAACAATTTCTACATTGACATCATCCCTGTCCTTGTGTAGGAAGTCTTTGAGGAAGTTGGAGACACTTTCGAGGGTGATATGACCACAGACCACAATGTGCCTGGAAGGGGGGAAGACATCCTTCTGAGTGAGCAACATAAATAAGTGCAGACACTGGCATGCCTCCCAAAGGTAATCAGACAAACCAAAGCAACACAATACTTAACTGAAACGAAAAGACAGAATGCTTTATAGACATGTCAAAAACGAAAATGCCTCTTGAAAGCAAACAAGTAACTGAATGATATATTTTTGCCATATAAGTGAACATTTTCCTACATGTAATGAAAGTGGTTAAATTCATTATGACAAATCCAGTCAAACACTCAACGCTGAAGCACTTTAGAAAATCTAAGATATAATCAGACATCCTACAGTGGTTGGGCTGTCATCCGTTCTTAATATAAAAACTCGCCCTGCAGCCAAACCACCCCTTTGTGAGCCGAATGGATGCTGACAAAGACATGGACATCAATATAATCAGGCTTTTATACAAAACATTAGTAAAACTTTCAAAATGATTCAGAGGCCTGTGGTTGACAAAAACTCTAAACAGGACTTCAGCGTGTTTGACGGGTTCTTGGCAGGACTCTGCAGCGCGCTACAGTCCGTCAGAAGCTGCACAAGCTTGATTACAGCCGAAAGGGAGAAAAAGCGGTTAGTTTAAATGATTTTTAGGGATGAGGTTGTGTCCCTGATTGTCCTCTGACTGCACTGCAGGAGTGAAAAGGGCAGCTTTGAATTCATCTTCAAGATGAGGCTCACGCTGAGCAGTCTGCGAAGTTGTTGGTTATTAAACCTTTGGTGCTTCTGCAAGACTTTGTTGTGCTAAAAACTAAACGTCTAAAAAGTGTGTTGTGAATTGGTCATCGATGAAATTAGTTTACTTGATACAATGCAAATAGAAAAATTTCAAACTTGTGCTTCAGACTTATAGCGATATCAGTTTGTCGTATTTGTCTGAATGGAAAACAACATACTTTGCTTTCTACTTTTATTAAAGGTCTTTGAAATAATGTGCCTAATTTAAACCATCTATAAATCTGTAACACTATATAATGATAAAAGGCAATCGTCCAGAAGAATAAAACAACTTGAATGCTGCATTTAAATAACTTAAAAGCACAAAACTAGAAACTGTTATAAAGCAGAAATCTGGACGTAGGCAAACTATTAAGACACAAGAGCCTTCATTAAATGAGTTAATCATCTGAATAACTATAACTGAAAAACACTCCATCTATCAGGCCCAAATAGATGTTATTTCCCATTAAAAAATCCCAGTCTGCTGGTAATTTACATAAGGCACATGCATGAATCTTAAGATTTAGGAAACAAAACAATCTGGTTTCAGCAAACTAATCAATAAAATACAATATCCTGATGCATGCTCAATAATCCAGGTAGAAAAATCTAATAAAGTTAAGTCAGTTTCTCTGGACAGTCAAATAAATAAGTAAATACAAATTAAATTTTAAATAATAATAATAATAAACAAAATAAATACAAATAAATAAAAAATAACAATAAAAAAGGAAAAAAAGTTTGTTTTTTTTTGTCCAGAAGATGTGACTTAACTTTATTAGAATAAAATACAATTTTGACTGCTTAAATATAAAAATATATGGATTTAATCTTTTTTTATTATTATTCTTAAGTTTGTGGAAAAAGAAAACTTTTGATTAGCTTTCCTCCTGGTTCACATCAATTTCCTTGGTTATTTTCCTCCTTTAAGATTATTTTACCATCATTTACTTTAGCGTTCTGTTTTATTAAAAGCACTAAATCTTTGCATACAGCAAATGTAATTTAAAGTGACAAACGCGAACCTAAGACACTAAATAACCTTTATTTGCTCAGTGGTAAGCTAAGCTGCTCAGCTGAAGTTAAAATAAAATATTGCTGGTGAAGTCTTACAGTTAAATCTTGTTTAGTTCAATCCAGCTCTTTCATTGACATGAATTAGTGTTGACACTCTGCAGACACCATAACTACCCTATGGAGATGTGTAAGGCAATCTATATAATGACAATAGCTGTGTCCACTACTTCATGTGCCAGGAGACAATTGAACCACTTTAGTTTAAGTGCCTGAAAGACCTTAAGAAGATCTGTATGTGACATTTTTCTAAAAAATAAAAATAAAAAGTTGTGGTTATACATGTGCACTGTGTAAAATCCTATCACCAAATTACTTTTATACCAAACAGGAAGCTCTGGTGAATATATTAACCTTTTAAAGGCCAAGAGTATTACTGACATCTGACTCAGTCTGGCAGGTTTAAATGCAGCTGGGATATTTATTGAAGTTAAATGAGAACCACAGTCCACATCACGAAGTGCTCTCCTACCCAGAAGAACATGGAGTGGGAAGGATTCAACTGAAGTGCACTTGGCAACGTAAAGTGAAAATCGCATTGAGAAAATGACAGGCTGTGAATGTTGCAGGTCAAAATGGTTTGCACAGATGTTGCCTCCATCCTTTAGGAGAACCTAATGAACAGCAGTGACTGCAGAGTGGGCCAGAAGATGACTGATTGTCCTTTAGTAGTGAGGAGTTGGGAAGTTTGTGAGAAGACAGCTGTATTTGGCTAAAATATTTGTAATTTCAATATCCTATACAAGAGGCATTTCATATTTATTTAGGTCAGGGGTTCTCAAACTGGGGTCCCTGGACCCCCGGGGGTCTGCGAGATGGTGCTTTGAGGTCCGCCAAAATTAATAAAAAAAATTAATTATATATATATATATATAATATCTATCTATATATATATAGATAGATATTTATATATATATATATTGCTGTTATGACTCTGTTCAGTTTTATGTAAAGGGTTTTCTGTAATAATTTGATGGTGATACATTTATGTTTATTATGTGAATAGGTACAGTTTTAAAGGAGATTTTGTTGCTGTTACTTTTCTCAAAACTGTAATTTTTGGAAGCTGAAATTAAAAACTGTGTTAATTACGTGTGTCTCGAAAGAAAAATACCCCATGTTTAAAAGTATAAAAACTGTATTAGCCCTATTAAAAAACAGGTCTTAAATATTTATGCTACACAAATTTAAGAAAATTATTTTGATAAACATGAGGGTTATGAGGGAGTCCCTGAAACTTTTTCTCCCCTGTAAGGGGTCCCTGAACCCAAAAAGTTTGAGAACCCCTGATTTAGATTATAAGTAAATGAGCCTATTACAAACAATCATTATATTTAAAAACAAGAAAACTGCTTTAGTTATCCAAACTGGTTAGTTCAACAGTTTATAACATGCCGTCTTAAGTCAAAGTAAAGAAAACCATGTCAAAAGTACAAAAACATTACAAATAAAACAACCCAAAACTCTAAATTATATTGAAAAAAGCAGCACATTCACGATCAATGCAAAGAATGACCAAAGAGCGTGCACAGAAAACATGCACAGACAACATCCAGGATATTTTGGGGGATAAACTGAACACAAAAAAGAACAAACGGAGCTCAAACATGAACAGCAGAGGTCACTCACTTACTGCTCTAATCCTTAGACCAGTGAGAACAGTTGTTTCCATATCTAGAACTGTCTTGTTATTTTTAAAGATCTGGTTCGGCGTTATAAGTATAGTCCTGAATATAGTTATAGTTGAGGCAGGGTTGACGTCAGAGGGATACACTTTTTACTTTAACGTGGACGACTTTTTCCATTTTAACCTTATCTGTTTTGTAGCATTAGGGTAAATCGCTCCGTGTTTATATTCAATAGTGTGCGCTTATCTTAATTCATACACTTTAGGTTGCAAACCCTCTAAAAGTAGTTTCAGACGCCTATGTCGGAGTTCAGCCAGGGTTGATGTCAGTTTTCATGCCAGCTCCTCGGCCGAAATTGGGGCTAATGGAAACCATGGAGTCATAATGGAAACCACAGGGCTCCAACGGGGGCGCCAACCGAACACAACACTTGTCATTACTGTATCAGCGCACACTGGTTGAGAGCTGTCTGTGTGATTCTGGGCTGTTCGGAGAACTATAAGCAGCATTTGCATGAAACATAAATCAAGTTTGGATCCAACTCTCCTTGAAACGGCCTTAAAGGTTTGTTTTAAATGACAGCAGTCAGGCGCAGACGTTACATTTAGGATGGGTTTTAAATAATGCACAATGACCTCATCAGTCAAAAGCATTGTAATCAGTTGTAATCTAATCTCATTTTCATGATGCGTTTTTTTTGTGACAGCTGCTAAAAGATAATGCACTGGAACTTCACATGCAACTTGCACGACAAACCGGTTTTTAATAAGAGTCAGCTCATACACGTCTAAATGGTTGTGCAAAACCGTGGAGTTCCTCTGAGCTTATGCGTTTGCTGGGTATATGATTGAGTCCATGTGTCTAAAGCGAATGAGAGGTGTAGAAGACAGGGTTTGACAGGGGCTTCTCTCAGCACCTTTATGTGCGTCTGGGATGCAGTCACTGGCTAAACACAACATTCCATCAATCTTATCTCGGTGACAGGCTTACTGAACATAGGCTTTTCTTTTCCTTTCCAAACCCTCATTCTACTGCTGACTCCATGAAATTCACCGAACAGAATGACGGAGCAAGATTGGACCAAAAAAAAATTTAAAAAATTATGCGAACAAAAGAAGATTGCAGATAGTAGCAGATGCTGAGTGTTGCAGAACCTCAGAGAAAGACAAAGGGAGGGAAAGAGAACAACTACTTTTCCTGTTCTGTACACACTGCATTTGGCTTGAAATGAATCTTTGTGCTGATTGTCAGTAAGGTTTGAGCCACAAGGGGAAAGGAGAGTAATCCACAACAAGTGCCGATCAGCGTCACGCACTTTTTTTACAATCCACTGAAGCAAAAATCACACGTAAATATACTCCAACATCAGACAAGCACAAGAAGCAGGCGAGCGCCGAGGCCCAAGCAGGCAAAGCAAGCAAAAAGCAATCTAGAGCCTCCAATGGGAGCGAGGCATCCAGCATTCAGGGTGTGGGAGCTGACTGAAGATCAGGGCCAGAGTAATGTCAAGCATTGATGATGCAATGTGCCAGCACAGACAGACAACAGAAGGACGACTTTTCCGTCGGGGTGTTGCAATCAGTGAAAAAGCCACAACAGTGCAGGTCATAAAGAACATCCCATGAGATGCAGATAAGGAGGAAAACGTGCAAAACGAATTCAAGCAACAACGAAAAAGAAAAAGGAAATGTGTCCTGCAGTTGTCATTGAAATTGATGATGCTTAACAAGACCATCAATAATAATGCACTTGCATTTTTATTTTATTTTTATATATTCATATAGTATTACAGGAAAGTCCTTTTAAAACGGATAGTAGGGATTTCATGACTCTTTGCTTGCCTTTAGTTTATTTTATTCCTGAACCCTTAAAGACAAGACTGTTGAGAAACTTTGGGTGCATGTATAGAAGCACCACAGGTTAGATCAGAGCTATTTAACTGGCGGCCCGGGGGCCAAATCAGGCCCACGGATGACCCAGTTCAGCCCACCAATGGGTTCATTTTAAACCATAAAACAAACTTACTTAACGACAATAACTGCTGGATGTCCCCTGAGCTCATGGCTTTCAGTAACTGAGGCCCCCTGAGAGATTTAGTTGAATAGCCCTGGTATAGATTCAGTCTTAAAAGTCATGAAAGCTCTATTTTCCAAATCAAATTAAAGCGAAACACAGGATGTGTCAAGGAAGGTTAAAAAAAAAAAAAGCACAAAAATGACTTCAGGAAAGCTCCGACTGAAGGACAGGTAGAAGCAGATTGAGAAAAACGTCAACAGAGAAAGAGAAAAAGAATGAAGGAGAGCGTGAGGGGACATGGACATGTGTCCTAATGGCCAAGGTCTCCAGTCACACAGTGTGACTCAATGTACTCAAGCTTTACTCAACTTAAAATGTCAAGATAACTAACCCCCAGTGCTTTTGAACTTAAAAAGGGGGTGGGTACAATTGTCACACAACCACACCATGTCTGGATTCCAACTTACTTTCTGCCTCGTGTCGAGTTATAACTCCCTCCGTATTTCTTCCGATTAAGGATGAGAGCAGCAATTTCTGGCACGTAGCGAGCAAACATGGCCTACATGCATGGAGCAGAAAAAAAAAAAAAAGAAAAAGGCATGCAGAGAGGGTTCTACCGCACACGGAAAAACAGCAGAACCATCTGGAATACTTACTTTCTCCCATTAACCGCACTATAGGAACCACCATATTTCTTGCGGTTTCCTATTAACTCTATGATTTCAGGGACGTAGCTGGCAAACATGGCCTAAGGAGAAGATAGGAGACAGAAGAGGAGACTAAAAAAGAGACTACTACGCCGCAGAATGGGTTGCGGGGAAACCGGTGCATGAGTCCAATTTTCGGAGAAAAGGAAATTTGCGTTTGAGTGAAAGCCTCTCTATAAATACGAGAGAGGTCTGCATATAGTAAAACTCATCTTGCGTAAGAAGATCCAATATTTAAAGACAAGCAAAGGCAGAACCATCGTCACAGCTGAATTCATCTGTGACAGCTCCCCATAGTTTTCGGGGGGGAAGAATTTTCAAAGCTAAGGGGAAATCAAAACCTGTGTGCCATGTTTTGTCCAACAAACACAGATGATCTGGCAGGTTGATGTGACTAGCCCCACCTGATGCTCCACAGCTGCAAAACACATTAAGACTCATTTATTGGTAGAAGAAATGAGCTGCATGCATTTTGCCAAGCGTTGAGGCCTAGCATGTGAGAACAGTGTTGAAATGTTGCACACCATTAATCATAACTACATCTGTAATGTTAAATAAACAGATGTTTTTTTTGTTTTGTTTTTTATCCTTGCAATTATATTTGGAATATCTACATGAACATTGCAGAGGAATGAAGTGATACTTTGGGAGTTTGATTTGATCTTTGGCTTTAAAATGCCTTCAGTCTGTAGTTATTCTACCAGTGATGCAGCAAAAGCAAAGCAGGGTAAGGTGCTTACATAAAGACTTTAAAAGAATTATATGATATACATCGTGACCACAAAGCTGTAGGTAATCCCCATGAAAACAAGAATCCAAACAAAAAACATGAATCACAATTAAGCTGAACTCTATTAACGTGTGTGTGTGTGTGTGTGGGGGGGGGGGGGGGGGGGGGGTGAGCGGCACCACACATGGGGGGGGGGGGGGGGGAAGGGTGAGGGGGGGGGGGGGGGGGATGGCACCGTCGCACAAACAAACCGGGCGAGGCAGAGC